TACCTTACCACATTTAAAACATTTAGCATTACGAAATACACATGAATTGCGAGCATGAAACTTTCCACATGATAAACATTTACCAAACTTCATCTCACCTTTGTGATTTGCTTTGTAATTCCTCGTTGAAACACCTTTCATATTTACACGAGAATAGGAATCACTGTTAAATGAACGCAAGTTTGATTGATCCTGAGATTGTGGTTCATCACGACGACTAAGCAAAGTATTAGAAATGTTCATCGACTGGATATCAAGTTCATTGACTGCTTCGTAGTTAATACATGCAGTTCTAGCATCTTGAAAGGAACAGTTTGGCATTCTTAACAGCTCTCTTTCCAAACTCGGTATGTTAATTCCTGCAATTAATCGATCTCTCAATTGCACATGAAGTTGATCACCGAAATTACACTTGGCAGCTTGTTTCTGTAATTCAAGGATGAATTCCCGAACCTTTTGGTCATTTTGACGAACCATCTTATGAAACTTCGCCCTTTCACGGCATTCAAAACTGGTGCATTTTACATGACTTAACAATAGCTCTTTAAGAGTTGCATAAGGCAGTGAGATAGGTTTTTCTGGATATGCCAAAGTTTTTAATAAGCTGTACGCTTCTCTCCCAATGAATGTCAGAAAATGTGCCACAATTTTCTCACCTTTAACATCTTTCTTGGTCATGCTCCAAATTTCGAACCTTTCCAAATAATCCTCAATAGCTTCAGGAGTTGAATGAATATCCAACTTTTCCATTGCAGGTTCCATCACGACGCCAATATAATATTCGAATTCTCGTATGAATTAGGAATTCCAGGATTAACGCAATTGAATTAAGAAGACACAGGCACAAACGAATGTATTGTATTTAGAATTCGAAATCAAACATTCAACCAGTACAAAGGTATCATTGGTTCATTCAAACACCACAAGAGGGCGGGAAAAGAAAATTAAGAAGTAACGAAAGCTCTCCCAGTATAGACGAACATTAAGAAATATCAATGGGACCAAAATGTGATAATAGTTTAAGGCCAACCTGATGGGTAATTCTACAATCGTTTCGAATCTTTGTACTAATGCAGTCGCTCATTTACTATGCTCATTTTTATGTTTTAAGGAGTCTAGCACGAAACCTTTTGGGAAGATAAACAACCGTAGACGCAACCTGTGGATCAGTGGAGTGATTAGAATTTACTAAATGTAGAAGAAAAATACGACTTTTCTCTTACCTCTGTAGAACCATACATAGTCACCAAGTGTTTTAATTTTCCACATCGTTTGAGGAACTTTATGTGATCAGCCATTTGTACTAATTTATGTTCTTCGGCTTTAATTTGCTCCTTAAACATCTAAATGCTATTATATATCAGTGTTCTGCGGGTAGTAAAATAATGTTGCCCGTTAAGCTACAAGTTAGTTTGTGTAATGTATATAACTTCACTTCGACAACAGTGAATTTCACGTACGATGAAGTTGATTTGAATCCATAAAATGAGACCATAATGCTACCCAACTCATCTTTATACGATTTACGTTATGTCCTTACTAGTAATACTTATACTCTAACGGATACAATTGGGTTATAGGATGTAGGTGCTGTGGGGCCAGTGAAATATCGCTGGGCCCTAGCCAAATCATTTTGGATTCGGTTCACTGAATATCAACCAGATCACGAGTGGGAACGCATCCACACCAGATCATGAGTGTACGTTGTGCTATGCATCTCTCACAACTCTCATCCAGTTCAGGCTAAACGCTTATTGATGTATCAATATTCCTCAAGATATATCGTCCAACGACTTCATTTCTGACTTCTGATTTGACTGTTTTGATAAACTACAAATATATAGGTGTTGTCAAACTCAGAGTACATTTACCATCTTTAAGTCTATGCCATACAGTCTAAGATTTCTCTAACGCAAAATAACACTATAAACTCCAGAAATAATAGTTATTAAATAAGTGTTCAGTACCTAGGAATCAATAAATGTATTTTGTACAGATTAAAGCAACCTTCCCCAGTGGATGTTTAAAGGTCAACAATCAAGTGAGCAACACCCCAGCGTTAAATTTAGCCAAATACGAAACCACTGACAATGGCCCGGCAACAAACAATATTAAAATTAAGTAATAAGGGTAAAACGTTCAGTGGAAGACCAAAAAATGTGGTTAATAAAGACTTTAGTCCGATAATACAACACATCAGGCAGTGGTGCGATAGTTTATCTTATGTGAGTCAACTCATAAAATAATGCAGATTAATTACTTAATCATACATCAACATAAATATGAAATTACAATACAAGCATAACTGCCTCAGAAGTAGAAGAGAATAAAGGGGAAAGGAGAATGAATGATTAACCATAATTATGGAATAGTAAGACTTACAACAATAGTTAGTGGGTTCATTAAACAAATGAGCTAGTTTGAATATGAGATAAATTTTCCCGATTTCAACTCGGGATTTTGTTTGAAAGTTGACTCGCACATTTGAAATTTGTTAAAATGTATCAATATTAGTTATTTGTCTAGGTTGAACGCACAGCCGGTATTTTAACTTTCTGATTTTTGTTGCAGTTGCAAGGTAGTAAGTTTTTTATTTTTGACAGTTCTGATGAGAGGAAGTGACCAATGGAGTTCAACCATGCAGTTACTCATCAATACAATCGGAAAATGATTGCGTAATACCGCAAATTGATTTAAGCTAAAAAGGGAAACCATTGGGTGCCGACTTAATGATCTAAAGGTTAGTCTCTCTTTAAACACACGTGTATGTAAGTACGAGACACATTTAAAGTTTATTTGACTGAGTGAGTGAGACTTAAGTGTATTGATGATCAATGTATGCACAATAAGAAACATTAGGAATATCATTCTGCAGATTTAAATGATTTCCTCCAAAACATTTTATCTAAGTCGAGGATTATTTGTTAAATGAATTTACTAGTGTTTTAAATGTTCATGTGGTCGACATGCAATGTATTCTTCAAGGGTTTTCCAATTCATGCAGTAACTAAGGCAGAATCTCTCTCTCTCTCTCTCTCTGATAAATCCGTATAATGTATAATGAGTGAAATAGTAACATAATTGCTAATACAGTGGAGGGGTCGAACATGGGTTATGTGATTAACACTCGGAAAGAGGGCTCAAGTGAAGAACACATATACTTGGTTAAATGACTTTAAGAAAATCTTTCAAAACAGTTACGAGAACGGAGTTAAAGAGAATATTTAGAACATTCAATATTTTTGGCATTGTAAAGATTACGTTATTTTGATCATGGGTGTCTTCTAAGCTTTGCACGTATTCCGTGGACTGACCGAGTAAGTAATGTTGATCTTAGGAAACATTCTTATTACAATTCTCTCTACTTTCTTAAGGATTTAGAGACTGACTATTTTTAACGAGTTATTGCTATCTGCCACATACGTTGATAAAAGATGGTTGTTGATGCAGAGATAGGTTGAACAAAAACTAGAGACGACTAAATCAAACATGGAATCAGTCTATGAAGTCATTAACTATTAGATTAAGCCATATTAATAGGTGTTCACGAAAACGGGGAAGTAAATTCCATGAACATTGAGCAGTACAACTTGCTTTACTCAAGCAGTTGACTTCAAACCGATTCAGATGCATTCACTCTCTATTTTCCTGTTGTAGATCACCAACATAGATGATCTATGTCGAAAATGATTGGAGGCCTACTCGAGTTAGACGTGAATGGTGTGACAAACTAGCTAAGGATAGAAGCTACACCTACAAATATTTCTGAACGAAATCTCAAGGATACAAAAAGAACTCCATTAGGACTATCTAATTCTAACTCAGATAAAAATGGTGGTGCCAAAACAACCGACATATTATCATCATCATCTGATCTCGGATTAGATTGTTCCATCACTATAAATAATACTCCTACTAGTACTAATGTCACTAATGCAGTTCCTCATACTAGTAATACTTCTGCTGGATCTCCCACTACAGTATCACAAAAGAAACGAGCTCCTCAGGTACCTTCTGTTAGTGTGAATACTACTAATACAACTTCTCTAACAAGTACTACAACTCCAGTAACAAATAAAACATTGCTACTACATTATTTCGAGATCTTTTGTTATTTTTATCTCAATATGCTAATAAAGTTCCAGGAAATCGGGCCAACACACGTTTATGCCAGACTGCGTGTTACTGATATCTGAATGGTCAATCACAGTGAATTTCTTTCTTGAGCAATAACTGTTCAAATCCTGTTACTATTTACAAAAAAATGGAAGTAAATCAGATAGACCTAATTTTCAGTTGAATAATATAATATAATGGTTAATAATAATTTTAATGTCATAATCAGTGGAAACTTTGAGTCAAATTAAATATGTAAAACAGAACCGTTATCCACTTTCTCCTTGGCTTTCGGAGGTTTTTATATCGACACCTTTTATGATCAGAATAACTTTTTGAATCAAAAAAATTCCCGAAAATCATCTCAGTAGATTCTTGACATATCTAAACCGATTAAGCTTTTAAATGATAAAAAGATAACTAGTTATTCTTGCCTAAATTATTATCCATAGATTGGTAGGAGCATGACCACCATTAAAGACTTGGATGGCTGTTTTGTTTCTTTGTTGCCCTATTGTATACATGTTTTACCTTTTCTTTATTGTTCAATGTTCTTTCCCAGTTGTTGTTTTTTAACGGTGTTAATGTCTAACTTCGAGTGATCCATGATTTTATGTTTTGTAATCAGTGCTTTCCATTATTTTAAGGGAGGTAATTGCTTAATTTGTTGATGTATATTAACATATACACATATGTGTGTATCTTATCAAATTGATAATGTTGTTCAAATGGATGAACAAGGAGAATATATATGTGGTTTCATTGCCTACCTTCATCTACACTACATTTTATCTTTTAGCTTTTCGAAAAGCAAAGGACTCCTATATATATATTTTATCTGTTTTTTCTTTAAATTTTGCAGTGAATTGATCCAATATCAAATTATGTCATTATCAAAGTTTTCTAATCTATTTCTTGACGATTTACCAATCCATCGATTTTGTATGTTTTTTGTATTGTTTACATGAAATATATTCGATTTTATAAACCAGCTACAAGTGATTTAAATGTGTATTTACAAGACATCATCAATCAACTTTTACATATTAAAGAATCTGAAGATCCAGTAAATGTTAAACTCTTCCTATCAAAATAGTATATTTTAGCAGGTTATCTCATGATTTGCATGGATTTATTACAATTTTCTGTAATGCATTTTATCCTGTCTGTCATATATATCCGTGCAGTTTACATTTTTAGAAGCTATTCCCTATAATCGTATAACATTTTTATTTAATTTATGGAATGCTTTCATGCCACTGAAAGATAAAGAATGATTCTTATCTTCTTTCTTCACCTCTTTTTTTGTCTATTTAACGATGAGTACCAAGATCAGATGATTATGGCAGTGCTAGTGATCATAATTTTTTTTTTTAAAAAAAAGAAATACTCTCTCATTGTCAAAAGTAATTTACAAATAAATGAATAGTAACAATCATAATAATGAAATTTTTTGTAGAACTTTGAATATAGTACACAACTCTACAATAGAAAGCATACATACATATATTTTATATTTTGTACATAAATTTAATTATTATGATTTACTGATAGGCTTGTTTCACTCATCCACTTTTTTATCCTATCTGTTTGTGTGTGTGTACGGTTATAGTTTGACTATTTACATTCTTAGCGCTGCTAATACTAATACTGTTATGATTACTACTGATAATAATTGTTACTACGATCATAATTATTGTTACTATTAGTAATATTATTATCATTACTACTATTGGTGGTGTTTATGCTGAAAACAATTAGACAACTGTTTGTACATTCGACCTGGTGACAAAAAGTATATATATAATGGTACAGAATAAATCTGATTTTTCATTTTCATCAGTGTGATTAAAGGTAGGATAGAAACAATCTAAGAAACACAAACATGATCCGTGATTTGATTGGTTTCCTACATGTATGTCCACTCAAATACGGTAGTGTTCCACTATAAAATAATTATATTTTGTACTTAATGATCGCCACTCTTGATCAAAACATAGTATTCGGTCGTTCGTTACTGTATGAGTAACCTTGAATTTATTTATATGATTATAGGCTGGAGTAAATGCTTCACCTTGTTTCACCGATTGTTTTTCTGGGTGAATAAGTGTATGAAGTAGATGTATTTAAAATTCATTCTTAAATTTGTCTTATTTTATTCCGTTATTCTCTAACACAGATCAATTCGATAATTGTATATGAGAGTTGGCGGTATGTGTATTTTGATAACAATCAGCATACGATCTAACTGGAGTCAGATATAGGGTCACCAAAATAGTAACAATAATAATAATTATTACTCAAAGATAACTTTACCTTGAAACTGATATCAATTGAAGAGCCAACAGGCTATGAGATCAATATAACATGCGAATGGTTGCTGTCTCAAAGAATTATGATTTTCGGTGTGACAATTTGAAGTGGGTCTAGATTCCATAGACTTTGTCAGTTTTCACACAAAACTGCTTTGTTAACGAGTGTTAGTTAGGTCGAGAATTTATTCAAGCGTGGCATTCTGATAATTGTTTTCTATCATGTAATATAAGTATTTGCTTTTTCATTCTGCAGCTTTTTGGTAGTTGTTGGTCATTTCTTTTAAAATTCAGTTAGTAGACATTGTAATTATTATATTAAACAATTACGTTTAGTAGTTTTTTAATGTTTTTTCATACTTCATATAGACATTTCCAGTGGAGACGGTAAATGTTCACATAAATCAGTGGCATCTGAATGTTGTTTTAAGATGAACATATTAGTTGACTTACCAAATAAATATGTGGACTCAATAGAATTTCTTAATTTTACACGTGGGTTGTATAAAGAATCAACTTTATTGTAAGTTGACTGTTTTATATATTACTTAATTATATAAGTAGTAGTTCAAATGGGATATTATCTAAATTATTATGGAAGTGAACTTGAATCCCTTTAAGTATTAAATAAATATCTTATTCTTTTGACGTATAACTCATTAATGGTGTTCATATCAGTTTGGTTTAGTGGGTAGAAATTACCATATCATTGTTGTTTAGGATTCAATGTTTATACAAGAGGTCAAAGCTCGTGGCTAACGGACATCGGGTAATTGCGAAAGGAAATATTTTAAAACCATGTTGACACAAGAATTAAGCTATTAAATAGTTAATCATTATCATGATAAGTGCTAAATCAGATCATGCAAAATCAGTAGCTCTGTAAGTCTTCGATATTTGATGCTGATCGCATTAGATTACAGAAACTCTTTTACAATCAATTTCAGGTTTGAATTTACATGTCCATTCTTTTTTTAAGGTATTGCATTATTTAAGCTGTATAGTTCTAAATAACTTTTGAACCGATTTACCAAAACACTTTTGTTGGTAATTTTATGGTCACTGTTATATCTGTATAAACGTGTAAGATTGATCACATTTGACAGCCTACGCACATATCTCTCTCGCTTAAATGAAACTTTCTCGTTCCCATGTATATTTGTAAAATATGAAAACAATACACTGAATGCTTGAGTTGTTCGTCTTGATTCGATTTGACTGTAAGTTTTCCTCTGTACTCGCTCGCTCACACATATTGGCCTCTCTGCTTCAAATCAACTCGCTGTGCTTGTAACTGTTATCTGTGCTATCCGCTAATAAACAGTAGTCAACGCTTCTTATTGCCTTCTGATTTCATACCACTTACATCTGTCCGTATAATTAACACACACCACAATAGCAGTGCTTAATTTTATGGAAGGAAAAATCCAAAATACATAATCATTAGTAAATAAACGAGAACACAAGTATGGACAACTGAGTGTAAAATCTGGGAACCATACAGCATATGCTTAATTTGCTAAATATCAGTCAATCATCTCAAACTTTATACTTCCTTCGTTTCCCCACCAATATGTCGGCTTTTGTATGATCTGTCTTAACCTCCTACCCCCAAGCGTTTCACTTTCGATTGATGGTGTATACTACTTATGTCTCTCGACAGACTCGCCTGACTTAAGGCGTTCTTTCCGAATTTCCAACATATATGTTGACAAGAATGGGTCCTGAACGACTGTCCATCATCACGCAACCCCTAGCCAGCTTAATAACTTCTCGATACATCGTTAGCCTACAAAACATAACTTCGAACCTCTTCGTTTCTGACTCTTTATTTGACTGAGTTGGCATACTTTGATCATAAAAGATGTTTCCGGTTAAGGCGTTCTCAAAACTCTGAATAATTGTGGCATCTTTATGCCATACATCTTCGGTCCGAAACGAGAGGCCAGAACAGATGGTGACCATATTGAGCACTTGACTGCGGTATTTGTACTAACTGAGGATTCATGTGTTCTTGATCGAACACTAATTACGAATCCCAAATATAATACGCTCACTTGTACACATCTAGTTCAAACTGCCTTAGTGGATGCATTATTTTTAATTCGTATTAAATGTGCTATCAAGAACAGATATCTTCAGATAATATATTTATAAGATGTATTTTTTAAAACTAATATTTACCTACAGTATGCGTGTTCTCCTTTAGTCCATCATATGTTCGTCCGGCTGTGTATCGTGTATAAACTCTGTCTGATCTACAATGTACCTATTAGTATTAGGATTGACAACGGAAATAGGAACGGACTCATTTGGTTCCTGGAATTATATATGATCGACATTTCGGTTATCTGTAGTCAAATAATCAGTATCTGGAATTCGAAACGTAGATTTTCCAGCATTCTTCAACACGGTCCTCATGGCTGGTCGAAGATCATTTTCACGATAATATGTAATACTTACTTTACTTACTTACGCCTGTTACTCCCGATGGAGCATAGGCCGCTGACCAGCATTCTCCAACCCACTCTGTCCTGGGCCTTCTTTTCTAGTTCCATCCAATTCTTGTTCATTTTTCTCATGTCTATCTCCATTTCTCGGCGTAATGTGTTCTTTGGTCTTCCTCTTTTCCTTTGGCCTTGAGGATTCCATGTTGGAGCAGCAATTGAATTAGTAACGCAGTTGGGTGCTTTCCTCAATGTGTGTCCTATCCACTTCAGAACAAGGTTACCTGGAAACAGTGAACAGATGTCTAGATCCTGTACCATTCAATCAAGAGGTGACTGTGTCTGAAGCAAAGTGCGTAGACAATTGTTAATAAACACTTGTATTTTCTAGATGATGGCTTTCGTAGTTCTCCAGGTTTCTGCCCCATACAGTAGAACTGTCTTGACATTTGTATTGAAAATCCTGATCTTGGTGTTGGTTGACAGTTGTTTTGAGTTCCAGATGTTCCTCAGTTGTAAATATGCTGCTCTTGCTTTGCCGATCCGCGCCTTCACATCTGCATCAGATCCACCCTGTTCATCAATGATGCTGCCCAAATATGTGAAGGCTTTTACATCTTCCAAATCTTCTCCATCACTTGTGATTGGATTGGTGCATTCTGTGTTGTATCGGAGAATCCTGCTTTTCCCTTTGTATATATTGAGACCCACTGCTGCTGATACTTGAACCTAATTCTTATCTCTTCAAATACTAATGCGTTATCGTCTAAGCTAATCAGCTTTGAAAAATAGATAGGAAATCTACGTTTCAGATTATCATTCCATCATTTTCGTATGGCGCTGAGTATACATCCAAAATATATAGGAGTTCCTCTGATGAGATCTTGGGTTCAATTATAATCATGATTATTATTCACTTTGTATGAATGATCTAATTCTAAATATATGTTGACACTAAATTATGTACATTGTATTTAAAGTAAATAATTAATTCTTTTATATTCCTTCTTATATGGTCATTTAGTTCTTGTTGTATAAATACATAGATTTAAATTATGTGGGTGAGTTGTGTATACTCTCGAAGTGTACTTCAATGAATACTGGATAACAAGAATGAATATGTTTTTTTTTATAAAAAAAGTGTACTTTGGTACTTATTTCGGTTTTATAACACTATAACTATGACAATGATTATTATATCGGTAATTTATGTTAAAGCAAAGTATTAAGTATCACTTACAGTTTGCGTGAAACATAAATGACTGGCCTTCTATTATTTCCCTCAATTCTGATCATGGTATGTTTAAATGAAGCATTTGAATTGAACATTAGGGGAGTAAGTTCGAAGAACAGCATCATTTGGAAGAAGCTTTAGTAGATTTTGCAAGCATGAATCTTGTTCCACAACTATTTTATCTAAGTTAACAGTTTCTCAGTAGCACGATTCTAAGCTTTAGAAGGATCAAATAAGCAATGGTAATATTTTTGGACGTAAAAGATAAATTGTTTTATTAGATTATTATACTTTGTATCAACTAGCATGTTTTGCTAATGTTGAACAACTGAAACAAAAGTGGTTGGAGACTTAATAGGAAATAGTTTTATACCAATCTCAAAGGGTAAGATTTATCATACTGTAAAGTGTCAGGACTATCATATTTTTCTCAGTGCTTAATAAAAATATGAAACTCAGCATTCTTTAGCACTTTCCATGACAGTGTTGCATATAAGGGATTGCTTCTCACTTGGGGTTTCATCTCAGTCATCTAAAGCTGTTGACATGTGTCTTTTGTAGACACACTACGGTAGCACATCCAAAGTTGTCGGGTGAACAAAGCAAATAAAGTGGAAGCTAGGGATTAAAAGGAAACCCTCGGTGAAAATTATACTTTTTTATGTAGCATTCACTCACTAAATGAACGGAGAAATAATAAATATTGCATACGAATTGAACATTGAAAAATAGATGCCCCACAAATTCACGGATATATATCCTATCTCATTATTTATATAATTTTAGTTGCTAATCTCCCTCTATCCCTTCTGATTATTCAGTGTACCGATTTTCAATGACGAAACTGTTTCACCAAACGCTACATTTCTATAGAATATACACTGAATCATTTTCGATCAATCAACGAGTAGAGTTAACTGGGCTTTTATTATATGTAAACCTTTATCATCTTCAGTTGTAGCTATGGTAACCTAGTAACTTAGTGAATGATACTGTTATTTAATGTGATACGTATTGTGTTCTAGTTTCACTGTGAATTTTAACTTTTGGTTCTAGGTAAATCCAATGAGTTTTAAATACTGATAAATGCGCTTTCTGTATTCCACTTCTAGCTATTATACAAAACGTAATCTTAATGTATTAAAATATTATGAAACTTGGATCGTTTACCATCCTTTGTACTGAATTTTTGAAACCAAATATTGACGGCCCTGTTCCACTGATTAAAAACTCACAAGGCATGTATGAAGAATAAATTTTATTACAAGGTAGCTTAGTTTAGTAGGTATTAATGATACAAATTTTTTCCTCTTTTAATCTCTCTTCATTAAGTAGAGACGTAAACACGTGGTGTTTACTGACTTGATTTAATTTGGGAAAGCTAGATTCTTTAAAAGGTCATACGCTTCTTTACCAATGAACGACAGGAAATAAGCTGTTCATTTATCATCTTTAATATTTTTCTAGTCATCCACCAGATTTCAAACCGCTCCATGTAGTTTTCGAAGACAAAACCCGCTTGAATTAATGTCCAGCTGTTCAAAATTTGACGTTATCATGAATGGGAATTTGTGGAGATTGTAGTAATTTGCTAACTAAGAATTCTCGAAATAGCTTAATTTAAGACAGGTAGAACTGGATGAGTACAAGCGAACGTATTATATTTGAAATTCCTAATAAGCGTTCGATTAAGAACAGAGGAGTCCTCAGTTAGTTCAAATGCCACAGTATGGATAACCCGTTGGAGTCAGATATACACTTGGGTTGATGTCTAACTTCAATCGATCCATGATCTTGCGCAACACTTTACTCATTGTCTGAGGTCGATAAATGTCTCCACTCGACA